AAGCGCCAGCTGAAAACTTGAGAGCCCGTTTGTGGAAGGGGCAGGAGTGCGGGGCGGCCGCAAGGCAGGGAGCCGTGTGGTGGGGACGGCCGAGCCCAGCCTGGCAGCAGGTCCCCTCTCGGTGCCCACACCTCACCCGAGCCGTGTTTAATGCCCACATCCACCATATCTGCCAGACGCTGCAGAGGAGGGGTCATGGCCAAGGGTACACTCTAACAGCCTGAGGTATTTTTGATTTTTTTTTCTTCTTCTTCTTTGATTTTGATAGAGGAAATCAAGTCTGATACTCCAACAAGCAATTGGCTAACTGCAAAGAGTGGCAGAAAGAAGAGGTGTCCTTATACTAAACACCAAACACTGGAATTAGAGAAAGAGTTCTTATTCAATATGTATCTCACTCGAGAGCGCCGTCTAGAGATCAGTAAGAGCGTAAACCTCACTGACAGGCAGGTCAAGATTTGGTTTCAAAACCGCAGAATGAAGCTCAAGAAGATGAGCAGGGAGAACCGAATCCGGGAACTGACCGCTAATCTGACCTTCTCTTAAACCCTAACCCCGGGGGGGGCACCAGTGAGGAATGGGCACAGCACCGCCACTTGCTAAAGGCAGGAGAGACTCTGGCAAAACCCGGCATTTTCCAGTTTTGTTTTGGTTTTTTTTTCTGATAGAATGTGACTTTTCGTCCTTCTTTTAGCGCTGCAAGTGAATATGTATTACTATGATGAGTATATATAAAACCTAGCACGTGTAATTTATTTTTGTTCTCATCGTAATGCAGGGTAACTATTATTGAATATTATCATTTGGTCTTAACTTATTGGAACTGTCGAACATCCAAGCAATGTGACTTTTTCATGTTTTTACTAACAAAATGGTATTTATGTGGGGCTGTTACACGGGCCATAACGTTTTGAGTACATTCAATACTTTAAGAAAAAGAAGGGGGGGGGGGGGGACTTTGGGGGCGGGGGGAAAGAGAAGCACATTATAATGTAACTATCCTCGCAAATGAACTTAGAGATTGTCCTTCGTAAAATGGAATATTTCCTTCTTCTCCATTGTAGACATTTCCTTGTGGTGCATATGTGGAATAGTAGTCGTTCAGCAGCAATATGTCCTTCTTGTGCATGTTCTGTTCGCATGTATAATGCAATAAACTCTGTAAACTACTGCGGTTCCTTTGGTTTTCTACAAATGTTTAAAATACGGATGCAGGTTGGTCTCCTGACCTTTCTCTACCAGCAGCTCTTTGGACTGATGTACCTTCTTTACCATTTTCTGGTCTTTGTGTGTGTCTGCCTGGTTTCCTTTCTTTCCCCCCCCCCCCTTTTCTTTCTTTTTTTTTTTTTTCCCCTTCCTTTTTTTAGGGGTGGGGTGGAGACTGGGGCGGGAAATGATGTAAACCTAATTCATTTATAATTGTGACTGTAAACAAATGATTAATTGATAAAATGTTGTGTGATGTTCGCAGTCTGACAAACTGAATGCAAAAAAAAAAAAAAAAAAGAGAGAGAGAGAGAGAAAGGAAAAAAAAAAAAAAAAAAGAAGAAAAAAATTATGACCTAAACTGGACATCCTCATCCAATCAACTCATAAATGGTAAGTGATAAAAAAATCTTTCTACTACAAGCTGTCAGCAATATGTGTGTCATTTTATTTGACGTTCGTATGTTGATTTAAAAAATATCAGTCACTGCGTGCTTACACTCTGTAGACTTTGATTTCGTGTCTTTACTCGCTTTAAAAAAAAACCACCATACCAAATGCAAAGCTGGGTATAACTAAATGTTAATGAGTTCGGTTCTTGGTCAGCTCAAGAGCTTTCAGAAGATGGTGGATGGGAAAATACTCCCTTAAACATCTGGCAAGGTTGGCTTTTTTGAGCAGAAACGCTCCCAAGCGTGCTTACAAAAGTACACCAGCCTCTTCAGACCTACTTTTGTCACCCTGCACCGTTTCTGTTTGCTCAGAGATCGTTTTATTTCGCGCAATTCCATTTTAGTAGCACACAGCCAGATAATGAAGTTCACGACTCTTAACCCTTTCTGTACATAGCTGAAAAATGTTATTAGCAGGGCTCTGCGCTGGAAGCTGAGGAAGGGCGTGTGTCTGTGAGAGCGGGTGGGTGCCTGTGTGAGCAGAAATACTAAGCAGAACTGCAAATGGCTTGCAAATGAACATGACTCCAAACTGAAGTGCAAATACTTGGGCATACTTTCACCTTCAAACAGTGCTGGAAAAATAGCGTGGCTACTGTTTGTGATGGGAAACCAGCTCGCTCACAATCAACGCCCATTCCTCCCCTAAGCAGTTTCTAAATCAAGAAACGAAACGCAAGATAGTGCCAATGTTGTCTGACTTGGTGACACTGATGCTGCTCGTATTGCAGCTGCTGGCGTTGTATTTTGCTCTCTTGTCGCTGATATTTAATTGAAGCCAAGACTTTCTCGTGCGCACGTTTACTCGTGGGGCAGAGACGTATTTTCTTCAAACCAAAGCATCATAATTTTGAAGCTGCGGGAGCCGCAAGCACGTAGGTATTTTGTGCCTGCTCTCGTTTCGAAAACAAACAACAAAGCGGTGCTCAAAAAAGCCCCCTCTTTAAATATTGCATACATTTGAACCGTCTTTTCTTTTCCTTTAAAGATACTCGCTACATCGCCAAAGAAGTTCCAGCAGTGGGAAGTAATTAGCTGGCTCCATACCAAGTGTTTAACGTATATAAAAAAGGAGGCTCACTCTAATCTGCCTGCTTGATCAATTATATCTGTGTGAAGCGAGAGGCAATTCTTCGCCATACCACAAACCCTACTTCTCGAGAAAAATATAAGAGAAGTATGAAAACGCAAAGGAAAATGCTAAAGCGAGATGACTAAAAAAAAAAAAAGTTAAAAAAAAATAAAAGGAAAAACAGAAAGAGAAGGCAAAAAGGAAGAAAACCTACGAGAGTAATAAATCATTAAATAAACAGGAATTTCAGTCCCTTCCTCATAACGGCCCGCGAGTAGGAAGTGTTTTCTCAGTGCTGTTGTTCGTGCCCTCGGCGGGCTGTGCTGCGGGCTCTCCACTAACTCTGTGCGTTTCCTCCAGATCCCGACACAGCCACCGTCCCCCGCTCGGGAGAGCAGGCGTGGGCAGAAGACCATGGGTAATCTGGTTTTTCCGTACTAGCCGGGCACCCCTTCGCTCGGGGAAGGATAACCGGGCCGGGCGGCAGGGGAGGGGAGGGGAAGGGAA